GTCACCCAGGCTGAAGGGCAGTGGTATGGTCATAGCTTACAGTCACCTCCAAGTACTCCTCCTGCCTCAGCCTTCTGAGTAGCTAGGAATACAGGCCACCATGCCCAACTCATTTTATTTTTGTTTTTGTAGAAATGGGATCTTGCTACGTTGCCCAGGCTGGTCTCAAACTCCTAGCCTCAAGCGATCTCCTTGTCTCAGCCTCCCAAAGTCCTGGGATTACAAGAGGGAGCTACCGTGCCCAGCCTGTGTTTTTCTAAAAAGTCACCAGATAGTAAATACTTCAGGATTTGGTGAGCTAGCCAGCCTCTTGTTGCAATTACTCAGCTCAGCTGCGGCAGTTGAATGAGCATGGCTGTGTGCCAGCAGACCATTATTTATGGACACAAATGTAAATCTCATATCATGTGCTCATGTCAGGAAATGTTATTCTTCTTTTGATTTTTTTCCCCAGCCACTTAAAAACAAACAAATGAAGGATTTGTAGCCTGGGGGGCTGTAGAGAAACAGGCAGGAGGCCAAATTTGGCTCCAGGCTGGGATTTGATGACTATAACTCTACTGTCTATGCCCTTTTATTTTCCTTTTTTTTTTTTTTTTTTTGAGTTGGAGTCTCACTGTTTCCCAGGCTGGAGGGGCAGTGGCACAATCACAGCTCACTGCAGCCTCCACCTCCTGGGTTTAGGCGATCCTCCCGCCTCAGCCTCCTAAGTAGCTGGGCCTATCGACATGCACCACCTTACCAGGCGCTTTTGGGAGGCTGAGGTGGGAGAATCGCTTGAGTCCAGGAGTTTGTGACCAGCCTGGGCAACACAGTGAGATCCCTTCTCTACCGAAAATAAACAAATTCGCTCGACGTGGTGATGGCGCCTATAATCCCAGCTATTTAGGAGGCTGAGGTGGGAGGATTGCTTGAGCTCATAAATTGGAGGCTGTCGTCAGCTATGATTGTGCCACTGCACTCTGTCCTGAGAGACAGAGCCAGACCCTGTCCTTAAAAAATTAATTAATTAATTGATGGGGCTGATGTAACCAGGACCTGAGGTAGGGAGATTTATTTTCATTTGGATTGCCTTCAGAGGTGACCTTAGGTAAGTCTTGGCTGTGGGTAGGACTTTATCACATACAGATTGGCCTATGGCCCGTGCATGTCTTGGCAGGGTGATATTGAGGCCAGTCCCTTTGGTATTGTATATTTATTTATTTAGCGACAAGGCTGGAGTGCCATGGCACAATCATGGCTCACCACAGCCTTGAACTCCTGGACTTATGTGATCCTCCCATTTCAACCTCTCGAAAAGCTGGGACTACAGGTGTACAACTCTATGCCCAGCTATTATTATTATTATTATTTTTGTAGAGAAAGAGGCCCAGGTTGGTCTTGAACCCCTGGCTCAAATGATCCCAAAGTGCTGGGATTACAGGCACGAACCACTGTGCCCAGCTAGTATGGATGCCTGTCTTCTTGGTTGGTCAGCTTCCTTGGAGAGGGATCTTCTGGATCCTGGATATCAGGGGAGGGGAGTGAAAGCTGAGAGTGTGCGTGTTTCTCAACTTCAACATGCAGGTTTCAGGTTCAATGGCATGGTTTCCCCATCCTCGACTGTGTTTCTCTTTCCAGAAACTCTGCCATTTTCCTCTCTCTTAAAAAAATTTTTTTTTTCTTTATAGAAATGAAGTCTTGTTATGTTGCCCAGGCTGGTCTCAAACCCCTGGACTCAGGCAATTCTGCCTCCTTGGCCTTCCAAAGTGCTGGGATTACAGGCATGAGCCACCGTGCCCGGCCTCTCTTTTCTTTTCTTTTTTTTTTTTTTTTAATCAGTATTTTTTATTATGGTTTTGTGGGGTACAGTTAAGGGTTAGGTGTACAATGACGTTTCAGAGAGAGAGAGAGAAAAGTGCTTCTCTGGTGGAGAGAAGAATTGCTGTCTCGTCTGCAAATTTATCTGTGGTATCTTTGCTGCTGTCCACCACTCCATCAGGGCTGGCGGAAGCTACCAGTGACAAAATGGAATCAATGTGAAATTCATCTTTCTACCCGGTTGGCTTGGATTTTTTTGTTTGTTTGGTTGGTTTACAAATAATTGCCTAAGTGTCCCTGCAGTGAGGTTTCAGGTGACAGGGAAAGCGGAAGCCGCTTTCATTTGTCATCTCAACCCTGAAGGATGGGTTTGAACGGAGACACAAATGGTGAGAAGGCGTCCGCCGGTTGCGGATCTGGGGACAGAACCTTCCAGGCAGAGGCACAGCAGGGGCAGAGGACACCATCGGTACATCCCAGTGGGTTCTCAGACTTGAGCGAGCATCGGAATCTTCTGGAGGGTTTGAACACAAACACCGATGGGGGGGGCCTCCCCCCCAAGAGAGTTTCCACAGTCTAGGCTAGGGTGCTAGAATTTGCATAGTTGACCGGCTACAGATACTCATGAGCAAGCGGAGAACCCACACCATAGAACGGAAGCATTTAGAAGCGTCTAGCACCTTGTTATGTTCCCTCAACACTATCTGGTACCATTACTGTTTTCTCTGTAAGTCCCCAGGGAGGCCCAACACAGGGTCAGAGGTAGAGCTTGCTTCACAAAGATACTTGTTCTGTTGGATCAAAAGTCCTTTACGTGACTGGGTGTGGTGGCTCACACCTGTAATCCCAGAGCTTTGGGAGGTTGAGGGAGGAGGATCATTTGAGGCCAGGAGCTTGAGACCAGCCTGGGCAATAGAATAAGACCTCATCTTTATGAAATAACAATAAAAAAAAAGAAAAAAATAGCCGGACCTGGTGGTCTGTCGTCCCAGCTACTTCGGAGGCTGAGGCAGGATGATGGCTTGAGCCTAGGAGTTGGAGGGTGCAGTGAACTATGATTGTGACACTGATAAGCCAACCTGGGTGGCCGAGCAGAACCCTGTTTCTAAAAAAGAAAAAAAAAAAAAAAAAAATTCCCCGGCCTCCCATGGGCTGTTGCTTTTTGCCAGCAGAGCGGTGGCATACCTGGTCCACCTGCCAGGGAAAAAGAGGCCGAGAGAGAGAGGGAGAGAGTGGACCAGTGTGGACTAATACAGGTCTGGGCAGATCAGGACGTCACCACCCACCAAGGTCTTTCCCAGGCCACCTCCTGTCTATCTGGGGAGCTTCCTCTTTTGGGGCCAGGTTTTCACTGCTTCTCGGGTCATCTTCCTGCCCCCGCCCCCACCAGGCCAGAGCAAATGGGAAATTTGAGTTTCCTCTACCTTACCCAAGACCGTCCCCTTCCTACAGGGGAATTTCTCCTTCTGGACTCTCCAGCCTTCTGCTTCTGGGGTCTCCAGGGGCTCCTGATGGGAAGAATTCAGCGAGTAGGCGGGGGCAGACCAGGGAAGGCGCGGTGTCTGTCTGGGGGCAGGTGGGGGGAGCTGAGCGCGACATTCAGGGTTCCATCTGTGGGGCGGGGGAATGTGTCCCAGGAGGGAGGGTTGGTGAGGCCTGGCCAAACACTGACCCCTCTGCAGAAGTGCTGGATTTAGGGGAACCCTGGGGGAGTCCCGGTGACAGGGGTGAGGGGGTACCCGGAAGGAGGAGAAAGAGCCAAAGTGAGACAGAGAGACTCAGAAAGGGAGAGACAGAGGCACAGAGAGATAGAAAGAGACAGAGGTAGAGAGAGCCAGAGTCAGAGACAGAGCGAGACATAGAAAGTGACAGACAAAAGAGAGGGAAAGTCAGAGACACAGAGAGACATAAAGAGAAAACAGAGTCAGAGACAGGGACAGAGAGAGATACAAACAGAGGCAAAAGTAGAGAGAAACACAGAGAGATAGAGATTCAGAGGAACACAGAGAAATAGAGATATAGAAAGAGGCAGAAAGTGACTGAGAGACAGAGAGACTAAGAGACAGAGAGATAGAAGCAGGGAGAGTCAGAGACAGAGACAGGGAGAGTCAGAGACAGATGCACAGCCAGAGCCAGAGAGTGACAAAAAGAGACAGAGACACAGCGGGGAAGAGACAGCGACAGAAAGAGACACAGAGTCAGAGACAGACAGCGAGACAGAGAGACACAGAGACAGCGATTTGCAGAGATGCGACGCGGCAGAGACAATGACAGAGAAAAGCAGAGACAGAGTCCCCCAGAGACACCGAGGAAGAGAGGCAGAGAGAGATCCCCAGGGCGCTGGAGAGGCGCGCGCGAGGGACGAGGGCGAGCGAGGCCAAGGGCGGACCGGAGCGGGCCGGGCCGGGCCGGGGCTCGCGGGGG